TTTTTTTTAAATATATTATTTTAATATCCCTCTGATGCATGCTATAAAGTGGTGTATAGGTAGGGATAAGTTAGTAAGCAAGTCCAGAACGTGTTTGTAGTAAAAAATCTCAAGTTTTGTCTGTCAGATTTCAAATTAAAAAAACATTTTTTTCCCCTTTTTTTTGGAAAAAAAGTTTAGGGTCGGCCCTAATAATCTAGGGACGGTCGGTCGACCGGAAACACACCTATTTTTTTGTTTGGCCTCATGTTTGCAGCATATAGTCATGCTTCTAGGAAACAATTAACACTGCCTTTCGGAATGTACTTCTATTCGTAATTACTGCATTTGCAGTGATTTTTGTTTTTATGGCATGGGTTTCTCTGTCTGTACGTGGGCAGTTATAGGCAATCTATAATCAAGTGCCAGTTAACCATTTCACATTAAATTTATACATTTATAACAACATTGCTATTATTATATATTATAAGTAGGCACTTTATTTATCATTTGCCCCTGCGTTTGCACGGAGTTCTCTATGCGCAGAGAATGCTTGGCAAACTCTCCAGTCAAGTGCCAGTTAACCCACTTCACATTACTTTCGTGATACGTCTACCGTTCGTAAGCGTGCATTGTTTATCGTCTGCCCCTGCGGTCGCATGAATTTCTCTATGCGCAGAGAATTATTTGCGTGTCGTTGGCCCCTCACGCTCGTATTTCTCTGCGCGCAGGCGAGGGTGTGTACAAAGTGCGGCAGCCTGCTCTCGCCTCTCATCGACGTCTCCTCGAAGGACACGGAGGTCGCGGCCGGAGGCGGCGACAAGCGTCGGGGTCGCTGGACGTGTCACGTCTGTCGCTGCGGCGACGGGATCGAACTCATCAGCGTGCCGCACGTGTTTAAGTACCTGACGGCCGAGCTGGCGTCGATGAACATCAAGGTCACGCTCGACCTTGAGTGAACCACGATGTCAAGGTCAAATGTGGCTCGACCTCGAGTGAACCGTGATGTCAAGGTCAAACTTGGCTCGACCTCGAGTGAACCGTGATGTCAAGGTCAAACTTGGCTTGTCCTCGAGTGGACTGTATGGTCAAAAGTTACGCTAGCCTTCAAGTGTCCTACAATGTTACCGGGCGACGGACATACCTGTGGGGCCACCTTCTGACGTGAATGGCTAGTAATGTGCACTTGAGATGTACAGTGGCCCCACTTCTGAGGGAATGGAAAGTAATGTGCACTTGAGATGTATGGAGGAGCCCCCTCTCACAGCATGAATAGGAGAAAAACGTGCCAGTGTGTAAGTAATGCACAGCTAATAGTGCACGTGGTGCCATCTACCAGTGATCAGATGCACTATATGAAAACCAGTGTCACACAGCAGTTCTGACTGTTTCAACTCGTACTCACTCCGTGCGGCACATAGCGTGGCAGGAAACACAAGGACAGCATGTACATATGGCAGTCAGTTTAGCATTAACTGCTGTGCTGGTACTGTGTGGTTTGTAGGTCTATCGCTAAATATAGCCGTACAGTTGTTAGGTTCATCATCTAGCTAGCGTATGAGTTTATAGCCGCTCTATTTGAAGTGGTAAATAGGAGCGGCGATGATCTAAAAACTTTGCAATAAAAACATGGCATTGATGCGCCCTTCATGGAGCTTCTGTATCAGTCGTTTGTTACCTAACCAGTGTTACCACGAACCCAAGTATACTATAGCTGTACATGTAATGTGTTTGGCAATGTAGTGTAATGGTAAGTATATACATTAGTTCATGGTATTACTAATCTTTCGCTTCTTGACCAGGAGCATATAGCTAACCTATTTCCCCTGGGCGGGGGGGGGGGGCAAATCCACGTGTGGGCTGTGTTTTAGGAAGGTCACTGCCAATCACCATGTAATGTAATGTACCCTGCACTAGTTACAGCACTGTTGACACACAACTTATGCAGGTTCTGCATTCAACTTTCATACTAAAAGAAATCAATGATAACAACAATAATAGTAGCTGTATTGCAAGTAAATTCGCTAATAATCTTCGTGGCTCTGTGCTATCGACAAGGTTGTCGTAATAGTTGGCTGTGCGTCAGACACAGCAGTATCACAGAAAGCAGCAGATTGCAGAGTTAGAAATTTTCAATTACGAATCATGTAAACTGCCTTTCACTTGTGAGTAAATTAACAGAAATTCGACAAACAGACACATGAACTGCAATCAAGTTCTATATTATGGCTAGTATCAGTACAATAATCATACATCTCGTCTATTAGCACGATTGCAAACATTGCACAATACATTTATCACAATGACTAGCGACTACCACTCGAGCATTGGGAGTAGAAACTAGTATGTAATAACCATACAGCCTTCCCCACCTACCAGTACCAGCTACGTGGTCTGGTACAGTAACAATTAGAGCTAAACATGATTTACAACCACGGGTTTCAATCTCATAGAGGGTCCACATAAGTTTAACAACCACATACAATAAATATTGAGCGTTCACCATACTGTGAGCATTTAAAAACGAATGAACAGTTTTTTTTGCAGGTATTCTCAGAGATTCTCTTATAGCAGTTTCTAAAAATAAACACGAAATTAAAATTTCCCTTAGACTATAGATTGACTTGTTCGATTTTGGTACAAATGTTAAAATGAGATTTTAAAATCTGTATTATTAAAGTATATGTGGTTCATACTTATGTAAACTATGAGAAGGTGAATATATTTTCTAACAGCATCGGAATTTTCTAAAAGGGGCGCTCGTTATTTAGTTGCTTCATACAGGTAAGCAATAAGATCGGCACGTTCATTCTTCTTCTTCAGACCGGCGAACACCATCTTCGTCCCGGGGATGTACTTCTTAGGGTTCGCCAAGTAGGTGAACAGAGTCTCCTTCTCCCATGTGATTCCTAGATGAGAATGACCCATGTTAGCTAAGTACTGCTCTTACAACGTACACTAGCAGTTACCATTCCGGCGGTCGCTATAGCAGGCAAATGGATACATAGAACAGTTGAAATGAAGAGCATGGCTGTTGCCATATAGGATAGTATCTACATCTCATGTGACACGTTCAGAGGAAGCAGTGAATTAAAGCCCTGTATACCTTTACTCTTGTTGGCGTCAGTATAGGCAAAACCAGGCGCCTGGCCAGTCTTCCTACCAATCAGCCCGTGTAGGTTTGGCCCCGTCTTATGCTTGCCGTCTTTATTGACAGTGTGACCATGGTCACACTTGGTCCACAATCTCTGCTTAAACAATTTCTGGCCCTTTGCCGCATCTCCAGCGGGAATTTCTTCGCCCATGATTAGCTGTTTACTTATAGAAGCTGAAATTTAATAGCTTAGATTTATTACAATGATATATATTATAAATATTATCCCAAAGCCATAAAAAATATTCTTCAAAGTCAAACAATGATGATCACCAGTGTAGAGAAAATGCCTATTTTACAAATAAAACAAATAGGCCTCGATGGGAAGGAAGTAGCTCTAGTACTATGGCCGAGGCTATTCGCCCGACCGTCGGGTGTGTATGTTGCTACTGTCTATTCGCCGCGACCGTCTTGTGATATCAAGAACATACAATTCTTCGAAATCAAGAAATATCCCTAACCCTAACCCTAACCCTAACC